GCGTGGGCTCGGTCCCGTGGGTGGTGCCGGTAGCAACGCGCGGCGCGCAAGCCTGAGATCTACGTTCGGTCTACGGACTGAATACGGCCGAATACAGCTGAGTCCGTGTCCGCTCGAGCGCTGGCTGGAGTCCAAGAGTGCCTCTTCCGCGTCTAGGCTGCGGCGCCTCCCCATATCTCCCCATATCTCCCCATATCTCCAGCACGTGGGCGAGGGTGATCTCCCCCATATCTCCCCATATCTCCCCATATCTCCCCCATATCTCCAGCACGCCTCCCCCCCGACCGAGACGTCGAGGAAGACGGCCGGGTTGGACGCGCTGCGAGCCTACGCTCGAGAGAGGCCGTGCTCGGTCGGTTGCGAGAGGGCTCCAAGAGGGCCGCGAGAGGGGCAGCGGGAAGGTGCGGGCCAGGTGCGGGCCTGCTCGGCACCTGTCTAGGGAGTAGCTAGGAAGTGTCTAGGAAGTGTCTAGGGCAAGGCCTGCTCGAGGGGGACGGTCGGCCGCGTGTCCTTCTTCCGAAGGAGGCCGAGCGCAGCCACGCCTGGAGCGGGAGACGGGACGGGTCCGAGAAGAGGAGCCAGCTCTAGGAAGTGTCTAGGAAGTGTCTAGGAAGTGTCTAGGAAGTGTCTAGGGACGGGTCCGAGAAGAGCCCGCCCTCCCTTTTTCCGACGGAGGCGCTGCGCCGCGCCGGCGTGGCCAAACGCGAGCGTGAGGGTGCCGTCGGGTCCGGAGTTTAGGGCTACGGCTACGGCGAGAGGGTCAGGACCGGCGTAGCCAAACGCGAGCGTGAGGATGCCGTAGGCGGCGGTCTGCAAAAAGGTCATCGGCGCCTCCTCGCTCACCGAGAGGAGCTCGAGCTCGAAGATGAGCACCGCGCTGGGAGGGATGCGCGGTGGCATGCCCGCCTCGCCGTACCCGAGCGAGGGAGGCAGGAAGAGCTGCCACTTGTCGCCGGGACGCATCATCTGCAGCGCCAGCGTCCAGCCGGGGACGACTTTGCTCGGCTTGAAGGTGGCCGGCCGGCCGCGCGCGTGCGACGAGTCGAAGATGCTGCCGTCGACCAGCCGGCCCTCGTAGTGGCACTCGCACAGCGAGTTTGCATTTGGACGCTCACCAGAGCTGCTGCCCGACTCGAGCACGCGGTACTGCAGCCCGGTCGGGAGCTCGACGAGGTCAGGGTGGCTGCGCTTGTTGTCCTCGAGCCAGTCGGCGCTGCTGCCGGCGGCGGCACGTGCGAGGAGGCCGACTAAGAGCGGCAGAGTACCTCGCATCGTCCGGTGGGGGGGGCGGTACCTAGGTAAGTTCCGCCGGGAATTCTTTTTTTGAGCTTCTCTCGAGGTTCTCGAGGTGGATATCCTTTGGCCGCGTTGGGTAGCGAGGATTGGTGTAACCCGAGCCACGGAGGCGTGTTTTCTGACCGTCAGTGCACGGAGTTGCCCCTTCTCCGACTGCCCCGGCTAGTTCCCGAGGTCGTCGGGTGTGACCCCTTCGTCCCCCGAGACCTAGCGCGGGTGGGTTGGAGGGGCCTCAGAAAGGCGCGCAAGCATTTTTGAGCTTAGCCTTCGAGGTTATGAAACAACAAGGCGGACATGGCATATCGCTCTCGGGCCCACAGACATCCCGCACACTCGCCGCACACCCGCCGCCCCCGCGCGCGCCCCACCCCGGCCGGGAGAGAGGGGAGTGACAGTTTGGGTGGGATGGCAACAGCCCGAGTATGTTG